AAATTGCGGGAATCTAATTTTGATATCAACTTTATTGAAACCACTTAGTATATATTTTATGACAATAGAATTATTACCTCTTGTTGTGAAGAGAATGGAAGATGGATGGCTTCAGCAAAGTCCCACAAAAGATGATTTTCAAAATCAAGAGAACTTGGTATTCCCGGGCGTGAAAGTGCAGATGGATTATTAAAAAATCTTAATTGTTGTTTTGTATTAAGAATACAATGCCTAAAATTTTAGTTCAGATAAAATAAAGTATTATAATTGCTATAAAAAGAAGTCTATTATTACAATTATAAATTGGGCTCGCTGAGAAATTCTTCATCCAAATATATACAGTATTAAACTTAAGTTGTCTGGATATATGTCAGGTTGATGCTAAAATTGGATGATGCTAAAATTTTGGGGTCTCAATTTAAACAATATAACCTTTACAAAAATCTACCTATACTCTATAAATACTAACCTTAAACTCTAATTCCAAAATTTCAGAATCATTCCCAACATTATATTTCAAGTAATTATATAACGATCCCTACCTGAGTCCAATCTCTAATTACAAGTTCTCTTACTTATAGTATTCTCTTTCTTGATATGCCAAATTAATATGGCTATTCCATTGTTGAACATTTTGATCTCGTTCACTTTCTGTCCAGAATTGAGTATTAAATTGCATGTTTTTACAAAGCGTATATAGATCATTTCGAGGTGATAAAAAGTAAATTTTTGGTATGTATTTTTTCCAAATTTGCACAAAAGACCATCGACTGATATTGAAATCAGAAGTTTCGTCTAAACTTGATTGATAAATACAATATAATCCAACATAACTTTTACTTGCAAGAAGATATGTAATAGGCATAGTATCTTCTCAAAAGTGGTGACCTAATAAAATTTTTTATTATATAGGTACATTTTATTAAATAAGTCTTTTATTCACAGAAAAAATTGATATATCAAATATTATCAATTTATTGTACGGCCAAGTTGTTACTACTATAAATAACTAATAGCACTAAAAAAATTCTAATATAAAGAAAAAACAAAACTTTTAGAGCCACATTACTGTACAGCATAGACTAAAAGACTCCTTTTATAATACCCCTTTTGATTTTTAGAAGCCTAGAATGTAAAGTACCCCCGGGTACTAAAGACGGATTAATTGCACTTGGGAATGTAAAATACCCAGGCACTAAAGATGAATTAACCACTTAAAATATATAAAACATTATCACGGCTATAGTACAACTTATACCCTTTATGCTAACCATAGTATTCCTTCGACTATAATACCCATATATACTGCTTAAATTGTAAAGTACTCTGGGTACTTTAGTCTACGCTATATGGTACTTATTTAATATGATCAGACAGTAACAACTACCGGATGATAATAACATTATCGTATAGGGCAAAAAAAATTGACATGATAGTATTAATTAATGAATCAAGATTTACTGATATTTTTTTTAAGCACTATACGATAACTTATTGTTATAAATATCAATTTACCTGGTGATGGCAACCCATGAAAATTTGCATAATTGATAATAAATGTAAGAGCATTTAAAATAGTTGAAAATGACAAAGCATGGTAAGATCTTCTTCCTGAAAGTGCATGTATAATGGGTTTAATATCATTAACCTGGTAATGACTACGAATGCTTTTCTATTTTTTAGCTGATAATGAATATATAGTCTGAAAAGCTTTCTCACAAATTTCACTATTATTAAAAGTATATTTAACAGTTAAATATTGTGTTTCTTTACCGCGGGCCATTATATGAAGCATTCCTAAAATAAACATATTATACTCAGATTTTGATAATTTTCGAATATTATCAAATGTTTGAAATGCAAGTTCATAATCAATTTTGGTTAAACATTTTTTGGTTTTACAACAATCTAATGTACGAAGTTTTAAAAAAAAGGCCTCCTTCTCTT